TTGATGCATTGAAACTGAGTTCTAATCTCTTAAAGTGTGTCAGCTTTCTAAATATCAACCATAACATCCTTTTAAGATTGACTATAGTTATTACTAACTAGAAGCACATAGATGTTAGCTTGAATTTCAAAAAAGTTTGATTTACGTTTCTTTAAAAATTATAGCAGTGAGTGCTGCTATGGTGTGGAGGTAGAGTACAATACTCTTATGCTCGCTGTCGCAGGTTCGAGTCCCGCTGACCTTTTCTGAATGTCTCTCCCCTCTCTTGTAACCAATTCTTTTTTTTTCATCTCTAAATACTTTCAAAAATAATTAAAGGGCTCAAAAATCTTTTAAAAATAATAATAGTCGTGAATTTGACATCTGTGCCACCATTTTTTAACAAACATTACTAAATCTCCTAATTATTGTCTTTTCTAGAGATGGCAATAAATAACTATGTTTACATGCACAAAATTTCCCTAATCCTATCCAAACCTTGGTTGATCGAAAGTTAAAAATTACAGTTAACACTAGCTACGTTTACATGGACACAACTAATCGGATTGAAGGCCTGATCAGATCAAAAATGTTTCATGTAAACATGTCAGACTGAAGATTCTAATCCGATTAGGTCCGATCGGATCTAAATTTAATTCCGAAAGAGAGAGGTGGTTTTTGCCGATCGCCATTCCGATTGGCGTCCATGTAAACACCCATTCGGATCTTAAGAGTAAAATAATCTTCACTGCGCATGTGTGCGACGTCAGCGTGACGTTTTTCCGCCTTGTCAACAACAGGAAACCACCGGTCACTCTCGCTGTGAACAACATGGCGGGGGGAGTCTAGGAACGCCGACTTATACACTCAAGTTCATTTAAAGCTGCAGGAAGCAGGAATTGATCCTCCTCCTCTTCCTCTTTTCTCCCTCCACAGCCCACTCGCTCTCCCACGCCGGTTCAATCGCTCATTCTCTACATTTTCTCTCGGACATTTCGCTGCCAAGCGCTTTTTCCTCCTCTCTCCGTTTTTCTTTTCACTCGCTCCGAGCGCATCGTTTGTCAGACCTCCCAAAAAACAGACGCAGACAGAACTGCCAAGTTTGGCAGGAAGTTCTGCGCATGCTTAAAAGATTTAATCTGATCCAACGCTTGGTACATGTATACACACGTCATGATCGGATCATTTCATTTAGTGTCCATGTAAACGGAGATTTTGAATTTCCGATCAACCAAGGTTTGGATCGGATCGGGGAAATTTTGCGCATGTAAACGTAGCTAGTGACACTAGAAGAACTGTCCACTTTTCCCAAAATGCTTTAGTATTAGAAGAAGATGTAGTTGCCTGTTTTCTAAACAAACATGTAGTTGTCGGCTCATCCTCAACTTTAGCTATTCTATTTCATTATGGACCTTTGTATCCATACTTTGGCTTTTGGTGGTCATTTTAGCTCCTTGGCTACAGGGGTAGAGGGCAGGATGGCATTTTCAACCACATATTATTAGAGCCACCCCTTCCAACAAGGGGGGCCAGGAGCCAGTAGATGAAGATTATGATTAAAGAAAAAAAATGTCATGCTTCTGTTGCACACATGCGGAGATGATTTTACTCCAAAGATCCAAACTGGTGTATATGTATGGTGATTGGAATGAAATGTCTTTATCGGACTGAATCAGATTACAATCTTTAGTCTGTTTACATGTACCATTTTTGATCTGATCAGACCTTCAATCCAATCATTTGTGTCCATGTAAACATAGCTAGGGTTAGATCTGCTGTATCTGTGAAATGTTTTTCCTCTAAAGTTTCTACATATCTTCAACATGCAGCAACATTACATGGAGAGCAACATCCCATGTGTGCTGGTTGCCTCCAAGGTGGACCTTCCTGAAGCCAAACAGGTTCATGGTATGACTCCTGCAGAGTTCTGCTACAAACACAGACTCCCTCCACCGCTGCCTTTCTCCAGCTTGTTACTTGATTCCACCAGTAAGAACATCTACTCCAGACTTGCCTGGGCGGCGATGTACCCGTACGTATCTGTATAGGGAAAACATAAGCAGCAAATGTGTGATGTTGACTTTTACTTACGTTTTTTCCTTTTTTTGCAGCCACCTGAAAGGATCAGACATGAGCAACAGCTCCTTCTGGCTGAGGGTGGCACTGGGCTCAGCTGTGGTTGCAGTTCTAGGTTTCGCCATCTACAGAGCTGTAGCTAGGCTAAAATAACCAACAATGAGCTAGATGAGATTTTACTTTCTTTAAACATAATCCATCAAGACCAAACCAGAAAAGCAGAACCACTGAAGCCTGAACTGGATTACGTCCTTATCCCTTCTAATTTTTCATCTGAAGACTTCCATTAACCTGTCCACCTTTCTGTCTGACCTCCTCACTTTGAAGACATTTGATCCAACCAGTTCTGAAGCGACTGGATGCTGGTGATCACATTAGACCCTCTGCTGTTGTGCCCAGCTTTGTTGGCCTTATGCTGAAGAACAGCCTCTAAAGCTATCTAGAAAGGTGCTTTATTATAGAGAGAGCCTGCAGGAAGAGGAGTACAACTCTCCTGCGTATCGATGGGGCTATCTGTTGAGTGTTAAAGATAATATTTCACACACATCTAGTGGGTTCAAATGACAATAATGCCAAATTAAGCAGGATAAGTACTAGTGTTGGAAACCTTTACAAAGAGGACATCCAGACCAGCTGCTACCAAAACTGTTTCTGACCAAGACATCCCTGATAGTCGATACAGAATCATTGCCAAATAACTCCTGCAACTATGAGCAGCTGCAGCACCATTACCACCGGCTGTTTTAGCATCACGATATCTCGTTTCTTATATTTAAATCAGATCTTCCATAGAAGATGCGATACAGAAAGGTTGCTTCTATCTTATGAATATATTTGATTTTTAATGAAAAGATGGAATATTTTAAGTGTTTGCTGAAATTTCAGAAACGACACGCTAATGAGAGGGAGCAAGGTGAACATTGAATGCTGTACTTTTGAAGGAAATGATTCGATTATTTTACGTGCCTCCAGTTTCCTCGCTCCAGGGTTCCGCCCCGAAAAAAAAAAATGTTTTAGTGAGAATATTTAGTTTTATTTTTTTCTCTTCTTTTATGCGTGACTGACTGAACTTGTTACAGAACCTATTGTTTGTTTTTGTTTTTCTTCCTTAACATAAATCAGTTCTATGTGTGATTAAACCGAGATTCTGATTGGTTCTGCAGGAAACATTCCTGTGATTTTTCAAATGCTTTTATTACTGAAAGTGAATTTAGATGCTTAATAAAGACCGGACCAGATTGGATGAAAACTCCTGACCTGTTACGGGTGAGTTTGTTATGAATGCTGTGACTGATGTAAAATACACTCACCAGCCACTTTTATTAAGAAAGAATATGGAAACATCAATACACACTGTGATGTATCAGAGCTGCAGGGTTCTAGTGGAGGTTTAATGATCTGGGGAGAAATTCCATATTGGGGTTTCTGCCTTCAGCAGAAATAGTGCATCGAGTTAAAAAACTGTTTTATGAACAATGAGTGACTTTGCTCCTGTAATGACCCTAATTTTGGCATGTGGTGCAGAAGTTTGTCTTCTGGGGCGCATGAATCTGAAATCACTTGGTGATGCTATCATCTAAGAATCTCTAATGGATGTTTTAAGACTTTATTCTTTTGTGCTAGGAATAAATAAATGAGTTGAGGTAGCAACAAAGTTTACCTAAAAAATGGCTTAAGAGATTTTACCATAAATCATAAACAAAGCTATGCTTTGTCTTTTTTAACCTTTAAATAAGTCCAGTGCCTTTCAGACGTCATAACATTTTCAGAGTTTATTCATATTTTTAACCGTTTTTAACCTTTACATGCCTCTAGTTGGCCTGCTGTTTTAGCTTTTAGGAGAAGGCGCCTGTTCCTTAAAGTTACCACTAGATGGCAGTGTTTGGGAAGCAGAACTTTCTTAGATGGGTGTGTCGACAGATTCCCAATACCCCCCGCCCTCTCTCTGCATCCGACTTTCTTTCAATCTAAATTGCTGCATTTATTAGTTTAGCCTTTAATACATTATTTTAAATAGTGTCTTAAAAGTCACTTTTGGTATTTTTAAAAATTTAGATCACAAAATGCAACTTGGATTAATATCCTTTCTAGGTGCCATAAATAGTAGTTGGCTCCAGTGGCCCCATGCTGAATTGTTTCTGTACTAATTTGAATGCATAAGTGGCCTCCCCCTTTTGGCATTTATCATAATTGTTTTATATTTATCACCCACTCTTGCTTCAGGTTCACATATTTAGGTCAGAATGTGAAGCGTTGTATTTTAAAGTAAGAGTAAGGTTTCAAAAGCTGTTTATGAGTATATACAATCATTTACAGAACCAGAAGTGAGACATTTACTTTTATTGAGCTGAATTAAAGTTTCCCCCTAGAACTGCACCTAAATAAAACTTATTTTATGATTATATTTAGTTGTGCCTCCCCAAAATCATTAGTAACTGGCATCTTAGGTAGTTTTAATCATCTCTTTATAAATGAGAGTTAAATAAATACACAAAACAGGAAAAGTCAAACTCCAATCAGCTTTTTGTAATATATTAAAGTTAAATTAAAATTACGCTGCAATAATATATGGCTTTGTTTTTAGAAAACCTTCAAATATCTCTGATAATACAGTTAATACACTTATAATACTGAGTTAAACCACTTTTGTTAGCAAATTATCAGTTTATTGCTGAAAAGATGTTTAAAAAAAACACCTGAAAATATATATTTTTTTATCTATACTATTTAACTATTCTCTCCTGAATTAAAATCCATATAATCTGTAATTGCTTTGCATTATTGCTTATCTCCATATGTCTATCAGTAATTAACCATGATCCTGTTTATTTAATGGAAATAGCTTCACTTAAAGCACTATCAGGTTTTTATAGCTATTATATAAATGTAAATAAAGGGAGCTCAATTCCTCAGTGAAAAAAATAACTATAATAAAGGACAACAAATCCAAACTGTTGTTTTTTTTTATTACATACATTGCAAATAGGCTTTAGGGTGGTTTAACATATTGATGTGGATCCTGTAGAAATGTTGCTGATGTCCATGGTCTATACATTGAAAAGGCTTCACTCTTCAAAGACGTGTTTGCTGGATGGATCCATGCACTATCAAGAACTATTCATTAGTCTAATTTTTTGTTTATAATAATATATATACATTTTTCTTCTCAGTAAGATCCTAGACTTCAGGATCAGAATCAACTATAAACAGAAAAACAAATCAACACCATTAGTTTTACAGTCTATGCTATGTTGCAATGAATGGAAAAAGAAAAACTACAGGTATAAACAGCAGGATTTGCATGAGATCTTACAAAAATAATACATATACGAAAAAAAAAAACTTCTTCAGGTATTTACAGAAAGTTTGTATGAAAGAGTCCGTTCACTTCTTTTTTGCAGTCTTCGCTGCCTTCTTGGGGGTCTTGGCTTTGGGCTTGGCTGCCTTCTTCACCGGTTTCGCCTTGGGCTTGGCTGCTTTCGGCTTCTTCGCCGGCGCTTTTTTGGCTTTCGCAGGCGTCACCTTCTTTGCGACCTTTTTCACTTTCTTAGCGGCCGCTTTCTTGGGTTTCTCCGGCGTCTTGGTGACCTTTTTGGGCTTGGCCGCCTTCTTGGGTTTGGGTTTGACCACTTTCTTGGGCTTGGGTGCGGACGCAGCCTTGGCGGCGGGCTTCTTCGTATCCTCCGGCTTGGTGAGCCTGAAGGATCCGGACGCGCCGATGCCTTTGGTGTGGCGCAGCATCCCGGACGCCACCAGCCTCTTCAGGGCCATCTTAATCTGGACGTCGGCGTTGTCGCCCACTTTGTAGTTCTTCCTCACGTACTTCTGGATGGACTGTCGGGACGCTCCGCTCCGGCTCGCGTCGTGAACAATAGCCGCTTTAATCATGTCCGAGTATTTGGGATGCGAGGCGGGCTTCTTGGGTTTTGATGCCCTTTTCGCCTTTGCTGGAGCGGCCGTCTCTGCCATTGTGACTTTTTTTTCAATAAGTTAATAAAAACTCTTGGAGGGGATATTTCACCTTTTCGCTTGACCGGCAGAAAATAAAGAATAAAATGTGTTTCCTAAAAAGAATGCAGTAGATAGAAAAGTTTTAAAAAGATTATCGTAATATTAGTGTCCAAAAAAGCGTGTCTTCAGAGTCCGGCTCCACTTTAAGTGTCTTATTCCACAGGCGCTCCATTCAGCCTATGAAGCCTATCTGCGGACGTGATTGAGAACACCAACTGCCAGCAGCTGATCTAGCGGACTCCATGGAACTGGCGCCGTCCCGTTTGTGTTTCTTCATCCTCCATCTCCCGTCAAATATAAAAAATAAGCATCCTCCCCGGTCCGCCGGTCCCGACGGGCCGATGCTGAAGACATCGGGCTTCACCTCCGCGCGCTTTTCTCCTTTTGTTTCCACCGGCGAACAACTTTTATTCCGGGAAAACCCGCTGGAAGGAGCGCGCGCCGCCAACAATTTTGCACAATTCCCGTCAAATTGACCCGAACAGACGGAACCAGGCGGGATGTCAGAGGATGCACGTTGAAAATGAATCTTTAACCGGACGGATGAGAGAAGTTCCGAGCGTGCGGAGCTTCGTTTATCCTTTTAATACTTCGATATATTTTCCCAACTAACACAGCCCGGCCATTGACTTTGAATGACGTGTTCGAGATTATTTGCTGTTAAACCTCCTATAAATCAAATGTCGCGACCTTTAAGCTACAGATGACAGATGAGACTTCATCTGGGCTTTATTCGGGTTCCAATGCAATAGTTGGGTTTGCTTTATTTCTCGCTTTTGAGGCCGATTAGGTTATAACTATCACTATGGCAGTCGCCTCTGGAGCCTCCATTGTCAGGAAAGTTGCCAGCTCCTCCTGAGATCAGGTGAATTTAAGGCTGTTCAGATTAAGGTTTATATATTATTTGACGGGGATTAAAGCTGGATGATCATTTTTGCGTTCAGGTGCGGGTCCAGCTGCAGGGGGGCGGGGGGGAGCAGACTGAAGCTGGAACCAAAGTCCTTCAGTGCAGGGCGCAGTGATGGCTCTTTTGTTAAGAAGCTGGCGCATCAGAAACCATTCAATTACTGCCCCTACATCCGGTCTCCCTTTTTACTATTAGGCTGAGCACAGCCATGCAAAGCGATATGAACCCCCCCCCCAATAAAACTTCACTCTCTATACACAGCTTTATCTTTCTTATTTTGATATTTGCGCTGCTCTCTCCCTGCAGCGCCATTTTGATTCTTATATATGAAAGTCACAAACACAGAACTGTTCTTTCCCCTCGACTTTTCTATCATAATTATGTTGTTCAAACCCTTCTTTGAAAAAAATAATCATATTCCAGCAGATCCTGCATATAACACCGAGTAGTGCCTCTCATTAGGGAAGCTCCTCCACTATCAAGACTAATGCAGGATGCAGCTCACATCACTATTGTGCAATTAAATTTTTCACATATTAAACATAGTCTATCTAATCTTTTAATGATATCTAATAAATACTGTCGTCTAAAACAATAAATTTATTACCTTTTATAAGAGATATTTTTTTTTTCTTTTGTTTGTGAGGCTGCATGTTTGCAGGAGGATGGATGGCTGGATGAGGGTGGGTGTTAGTGAGAAAGGCACTAGTTGCTAAGGGAGGGGGGAGGTGACTGAGCTGATGTATATTTAAATGAAAAAAGGGAACCATTTAATAATAAATAGATGGTTTGTGCACCATAAGTTATAATGAGACAATGCAATATGTTTTCAACTGCTCTCCAGGCTTTGAGGAAACGAGACATTTTGGGATATTCCTGGAACCATTACATGGTTCTTGGTTAAAGTCGTGGTTATTCCATAGGAATGCAGGGTTGTTTTTATGTGTTGTCTGTATTTTTCTGAGCGCTTGTGCTTCGTTTTGGAAGCATGGGCGTAAGCTTGCATAGGGACCATAGGCACATGTCCCTACATAAATTTTGGACCGACCTACTTGTCCCTACCAACAATTACATGTGAATAAATGTTTTTAATTTACAATACAGCGTAGTTGCAGCAGTAGAGGAATTCTGGATGGAGAGTATTGACAGACGAAAACATGTTTTATCTAGAATACAAAATTATTATTATTATTATTTTTTTTTTTTACAATTTTGGTATAATTCCTGCTCTAAGTGGGTTGCTCTGTGAGCTAAATACATGTTTTAGAGTCTCTATAATCCAATTAACGATTAATTGATTACTATATTTGTTGACATTATTTCAATAATTGATTAATCCGAAGAATTGTTTCAGGCCTAAATAAAAAACATGAAATCGGTTAAACAGAGTAACTACATCCTAGATGTACAACTTGTAGAGTGAGGTTAATATATTAAATTTCCTCGGTGTCAGTTCCTCTTCTAGTTCCAGTTCACATGTAAATGCAATCCATTTATTTGGCGTCCCTTGAATCTATTATTTCACTTTGTTTCATGATACAAAGAGAACATTTAAAAGAGTGGGTTTTACCTCTCTTTACATCTGCACAATTTTATAGCTTTAAAATAAAAAAAAGTATAAATCCACATATAACAGACATATTCAGACTATATTCTGTTAAATAGGCACATATTTACTTTCTGCCTTAGTTGCTTGTAATTTCGAATTCAAACCTTTTCAAAGTGGAAAAAAGTCATATTTCCTCTTCCATCAGAGCCAGTTAAGCTTCAGTCATTGATAAACAGCATCTAGTGTGTGTAGTGTTTATAAAATTTGTATAAATGTAGTAAGTAATGCTGTGTTTCTCTTTAAACAAAATACACCATGATTTTCCCATCAAGCATAAAAAAACAAGCATGCATATATTTGCATGGGACCAATGACATCAGACCAATAGTGTCCCTTCCAAAGTTGAAATCAAACCTACGCCCTTTGGAAGGTAAAAGGAGGAGGTGGTGGGCACACTTCCAGTGGATGGACTGGAAGTGCTTTGTCTAGGCTTCCAGTTTAAGTTTAGGATCATAATGATCATAATGAACCTGACACCACTTGGCTCTCTTTTATGAGTTGAAAAATAATTATTGTGGTAAAGGGGATCTGCCATAACTACTGCATGCCTATTTTCCTTTAGATGTGTAAAAAATTAATTCATGCTGGTAATTGATAGAATAATTGAAAAGCCCCATTAAGAACGTTTTTCCATTCCTAAAATGTATTAATTGTTTACTGTTTATCACTGTAGTTTGAATTCAAATAAATTCTTCTCCAGTAAAAAGAGAGGTAATAAATATTTCCTGGTGAAAGGGAAAGATACTAAAATATTTTGTTAATTAAATCTTTTCAACTCAGCTTTGTCATTTGCTTTTAAAAGATAATCACTCTGCCCAATATATATAAATATATGTGTGCCACACATAATAAAACTGAACTATTTTGAGACATAGATGATAATTACCAGCTGTAGCACACCCAGGGGGGATCTTAGTGGTAAACGAACACCCTATAATTGAGTGAATTATGTAAAAGGATGCAAAAATTATGTAAAATATAATAGTTAGAATCTTAAGTTAGACAAATCTTTCTGTCTTAATGCATGCGTACGTCTTCACACCATTTTGTGAGTCTTTCTCTCCCTCCACACACACACACACACATATATATATATATATAAATTTTTTTTTTGTATACATACACATACATGCCGTTCCATAGTAATCAGCTGCCCTTGGAATAAATTGACAACAGTAACAATACATAAAAATGATAAAACATGGATATCATGACATCGTTATATTATTATATGTATATTCATACATAAGTATCTATTAATAAATAAAAGAAGTAAAAATGCCTGATGGAGCCAATTGACAAAAATTTTGTTGATCAAAACTTTGAGGGAATCACTGAAATCAGGTATTTTCTGTAATGTTCAGTCACACTTCTGCACCTGTGGACAGGTGTGTTGGTTCACTATTCAAGAGAAAGGTACTTTCAGTTATAGTTACTCTCTGGGAAGATTTGCTTTTTTATTATTATAAAATTCAAAATCAATATCTTATTTGACTAAATTATTATTATTTTCAGTTTTGTGTTATTTGAATGACCGTGAGAATTTATCATTTTCTTTAAATACATTTTTAAGCACAAATGTAAACCCACCACCCCCCCCCCCAAACACACATATATATATGTATATATTCTGTCTGTCTGTCTATTATTGTCATTATTAAATACATAGACTATAGGAAGAAACACACTCCTAATGTCTGTCTTGTTAAAAATAAACTATTTGCAATACCAGGAGCAACCACTAAAAGACCAAAGGACACTGCTTCAAATTTAAATCCTGGGACTTTTGCAAAGTGAGCTGTTTGATTTAAGTAATGTGTGTAATTAATTCCTATACAGGAATGACGTCTTAATAAATAAGCTAGAAAACTTCTGCAAAGATACAGTGATCAAACAAAAATGGGGAAACACTAGTAGTAGTAGGTTTTCTCTTTGAGCGTTTGCTATTTCTAGACAGGAGAGAGTGGCCGTCCCTCTTCTATCCGTTTTGTATATACCATATACAGTTATCTGCACTCAAACTCCTGTGAGTACTCACATCAGCGCCTGAGGTTAACATATATTCAGCTTACATAATGCTTGACCCAGTTATGGTTAGTTGCTCCTGAAGTCAGAAACTGCACAGTGAGGATTTATATTATATTACATGTGTATTTAGATATGACGTTATGCCAAACATGTGTCTGGTGTATTTCAGTGTTACCACTCTAAATTTGTCTAAAGCTAGTTTGTAATTCTAGCTGACCAAAACTCTCTGAAGTCCGATCTCTTTCCCAAAGTGTCCGGGCATCCTGCATTTATCTTCCAAGGGCCCCATCAGTGAACTACCTATCAGCGACCTTCCTGCACATAATCACGTGTTACGCTAAATGCATTCTTACTCTGTTGCTTTGATGTAAGGACTGTTTACTGCTGTAGCTTTGACTGCAAGATGATGTTGGATTAAATCAGTTCGGTTTGCCTTAGAGGCCAAACAAAGTGCAGAAAGAAAAGAGATGTTAGAATAGAAAGCTTTAATTCATGGCTGTGATTATCTTCTGTTTTATACATTATTATATATTTACTGTTTTAAACTGCTCTTTTCTTTTTCCGTTATTTGTTTTATTCTAAATGTTTCAGTCTTGTTTGTTTTTTTAGTTCTTTTTT